CAGTTAGTGGCTTCTACTTGAATGTGGCTGATCTTCTTTTACAAGTTGTTTGGTGAGGGATATTCTCCTCAGCATGAAGTGCCTAGTGGAGCAGTCAGTGCCTGGCACTGGCACAGTGATTCGACTCAAATGGAGATGCTTCATATTTCCAACTGTAGCTGACAGGCATTTGTTGTTATCCCTCAGCCACAGGGTAGGTACAAGCTCAGCCAGACTGGTATCTCACTACTTCGGCAGTCTCTGTGCCAAGTCTGTGCTTAAAGATATTCCAATAACTCTCATCAAAATTTCTGTTTTAAAAAAGATATTTCGAATTTTTTTTTCGGAGGGGAACAATCAATGAATTAGTGATCAAAAGTGTTAAATGAAGAGTGACGTGTGTCTCTTGCAGTCTTCACACCTACCACCTACCATAAGGTTTTTCAGAGGTTGACTGTGCCATATTTCATCTAGCTACCTGCTTTATGTGCTCAGAATGAAAATGCAGAAAATCCCATTCCCCCCAAGGAGATAAAGGGCTGTGTCACACCATACAGCTGAATGTTTCAGAGCCAGTCAAACTTGATTCAGTCTGTGAGCCTCTTCCACTGGTGCTTGAACTGCCCTCTCATAGAGGTGTCAGAAGCCCACAGTGCAAAATGGGAAAGATCACTGTAGCACAAGGTCCCTATGTGCAAATGTTGTACCTCTGCATAATGTTATGGCTCTCTTGGTCATTTCTGCTTCCTGTCAATGCTGTTGTTGCCAGGAGAATCCCAGCAGTCTCTTTTGTGTTGTGCCCCTTTCAAGAACTTTGAAATCAGCAGAAGGGAGTTTAGCTGTTTTGACACTGGCTGAGCCATGTTCTTCCCTGCCCCTTCCACATCTGTGCTGCCAAGGAAATAAATCAAAGCTGCATTGAAAGGGCAAGGTTACAGGTGTTATTTGAGACAGAAAGTTTCATGCAGCATGCCAGATCACACAGAAGAAATTTCATTACTTGATTTCAAAGACCTTGGGTCAGTGACTACTTTTCTTCCTCTGTTTTGAAAATGCACACAGCATGTTATTTGGCAGTGGCCTTCTCATTGAGTGTATATGATACACATTTCCACGCACAGGTAAGCTGTAGCACATGTGAGTATCATGTGGAACACCTGTGCTTTTATGGTCATTAATATTAGTGTTGTTTGATTACTGCTTTCATCTTAGTTTTATATAGTCACTCTGTCAAGAATTTAAAGTTATCTTTTGTTCATTTATCTTGACCATTAAGACACTTTAAAAAGAAGACCATCTAGATAGTATGTATCTCATCCTACCTGAACTGTCTGTAGACTAGGGACCTAGTCCAAGCAAAGTGTTTAGTCTCGCTCGCTTTCTCTCTCTCACTATTCAATGAAGATAGCCAGAGTGATTCATCTGGTATGTAAGGCAGTGAATCATCTAAGGATATTGACCTTCTCTGTTGGTGATGAGGAGAGCTCAGATGACTAGCCTTGGCTAGGTATTAACTTCAGGCTAAGAGATTTGTTTTTCTTGCTCAAAGCCAGGGAAGTTTAAGTTCAATTTCCAGTTAGCAAAGTTCAAGCACTCTTTTTGTTCATTTTCGCCTAGAGTGCTCCAAGTCTTTTAATGGCAGCTTTTGCCCACAGGGAAATTGATACACCGCAGATGTTTAAGCAAGCCCAATGCTCCTCTTTGCCACATCTTCAGTGAACATTGCTTGTGTGATGAGGCACAGACAGAGATTCTCTTTTGCCAAGACTGCAAAGGCAGCTTTAGCTTTGGGATGTCTAAGATGTACTTAGACAGTTAGAATGGAAATATCAGTGTCTAGTACAAGGTGGAACTCAGATGAACTCGGATTCATCTGTCAGAAGCCTCACTCCTGGCTTTTTTACACCAGCAGTGTATCTAGGTCAGCTACGGGCTGGGGTTTTCCTTATTGAAGCACTTTTCTTGTTGGAAATAAAAGTGTACTTGTATGAAAATGCTCCGGACTGAAAGTTTGTTCTCCTTCCTGTGGGACACACCTGTACTTTTTAGATCACTGTTGCTTTTTCACACTGGGCAAAGCGGACTCCACATCAGAGCTAAAGGGACCATTTATGTTCCTGGCTAGCACGGTGCAAACAGGCATTTTGTTATAAACAAGCACCGAAGCATAATTACTTGTTATCTTTACAGTTTATGCAAGGTATCTTTTCTCTTAAAAAAAAAAAAAGAGAGCTCCCATGAGTCCTCTTCTCCTCTTCCACCATGGTCACGTTATTTCTAGTGCATAATGTGAAAGATAAGTCAGGGGGCTTTAGATATCATCTTCTTAAGAGAATGAAACTGAATTCAGTACAGCTGTCTATTGTAATTTAATGTGTAACAACTGCAGCACAGATATTATTTCGGTAGTCCTGTTCCTCATCTTTTTATGCATATGTAAATATTGTTTTAGATTATCTGATTTATGTAACTCATGCATCACTACACTATCTGTAGTGTTGTCATTCAAATCTAAGACTAATTCTAGAGATAAGCTGAATCATTTTGTAATTATGAGGAATCACGAGGAGGTATCTCAGTGCTTACAGAGGAGTGTCTTGCTGTACCACACTCCAGATTTCTCAGCACAGCCAAATCTTCTTTTAGTATGTTATAGTTTAATTAGTTCCAGATCTTATATTCTGTTTCTCTGGGGTTGTACAAAATTAAAAAAAACAGCATCACCACCAACAAAAAAAAAACCATGACATAAAATAGGAAATGTAAAGAAGTAATTGTGATCTTTGACACATGGATTTGGTACCATCTGTTAGCATGACTTCTAAAGTCAGTATCAAATGTGTTTGTTGAGTTGGATTTTCATGCTGTTTTTCATAACATCTCGCTTCGTTGTGAAGCTGTCAGATATAGCTCCCTTGAGAAAGTCTCCTTGCCAGTCTGATACAAGTGGCAGGAGAGTGGCAGAATCCTCTCCTGCTTAGAACTGCCATGCTTTCAGAAAGCAATGACACTGTTTATTTACTCTAGCTAAGGTTTTATCCCATGAAATCTTTCAACAGCAAACTCTAATTGGGCAGTGAACCAAAATATCACCCCAGGGGAGTAATTGCCATGAAAACCCTTGTAGTGTTTCCTCAGGTGTGTTAGGGGCCTGTGGTCTTCCTAAGCCACTGAGTGGAATATTTGTATTCTTTTCTTTACAATATTACTTCGCCATTAGCTTGATCTCTTTTCTCCTCTGTCAAAAGTGTTGATGTTTCTGAAGTTTCATCCTCTTTTTCGCTGCTTTTGTCTTCAGTTGGATAGTATTGGAAGGGACTTCAAGAGCTTATCTATCCAGAGCTGGCCATCCTGTGCCTTGGAGGTGTGTGCAGCTATTGAGCATTTCAGGGATGCCTCTCATATTTGGACAGCATCATGTACAGTGGTGTCTGTCCTGACCAGGGCATCTGGGTAGTCTGGTTCCTGTCTGTGCCATCATCTTATGTAAAAAAATATATAAGATCTGGTCAGTCTCTCCTGCCTATCAGTTCTTCCTGGACTTCTCTTCAGCTTACTGAAGCATGTGGTACATAACTCACTGATCTCAGCAGCACAAAGACTGCGTGGTTTGTTAGATTGGCTGATGCGGTACAATCTAGCTCTCCATTCCAGTGTCATTTCTGGATCTATTCTTAAAGACCTCCACTCTGAACCTTCTGCAGTTAAGCACTCCTGATGCTTCACTATCAACTTTTTGAAAGAATTCCTTGTGAGCGTGCTTTCACGTGTCAGGTATTAATTGTAATGCTTTTCTTGATTTTCCCACTGGTGTTTGGAGACAGTATATGTATACCACTGTATACCACTCTGTCGCCGTCATTGTTACCCAGCAGTCACATCTCAGTCAGCTCATCCATAGAAGCTGCAGAGACTGATGACATTCTTACTGCTTAGCATTTTCTAGTCTCATTTCCCTTCTTGGTCATATTTTGATCATACAAGTGCAGGAGAAGGAGAACGATGCAATTAAATGAGGTCAAGATAAATCTCTTGAAACCTGTACTAAGAGTAACCTCTATCCTCCTCGAACAGGAGCAGAAAATAGCAGCTTTGGTCACTTTGTATGGTGATGATTGCAATAAGAATGGGAAATAGTACACTTCCCTTATGTCTCTTGCAGCCTCTGGAGTCAATGAATGATCATTTTGGTTCCTTCTCAGATTGAGGAGTGAATGACTAATGTCATTGTGACTGCTGCCATTTAATTTCTGCAAAAGAATTCTCTGGTAATTCTCATGATTGGCATCATTTCCCATCATGTGCAAGTTGTTGGACAGAAAAGTCCTTCTTTTGTACTGTCATGGTATGAAGAAGATATAGAAGTCCTGGGTTCCTAGAGCAATTCAATGTATATGAAGCATGTATGAATCAGTATTCTGGTCTTCTTGCGCAGCAACTCATGATGACTGATCTATTTCTACAGTTGCTAATTATATTATGTTGAAAAAATACTTGGTGTTGAAGTGACTTTAATGCAAAGTTTCTGTGAAGTTGTGATTTAAGGACTTATAAGGAAGGTATTACTGAAATATTTTGCTTTGAGTCAATATGACCCATTTCAAAACAGTTTGTTGAGATAGGTTGCAGCTTGTTGCTTAACATTAAGCCTAAACGACCTACCTGAACTGCTGTGGTGTTTTTGGGACAGGTGACTTTGTATTCTGATTATCTCTTACAGCCACCCCCAGCTCTCTATTACCTAACCAACAGTGTATTGCAGTCTGTATTCTTACCTACCATACTGGTGGATCATGGGAAAAAGCTTGGTCAGAAAGCCTCATTCTGGATGGATAAGACACACTGTTTGTCAAATTGGGTCGAAACAAAATGTTCTGCTTTGGTTCAACTCGTTGAAATGAAATGTTTCAATTCAGGAGTACCAAAACATTTCATTTTTCATCAAATCATGGAAATAAAATATTTTGGCACTTGCTAATGTCAGAGTTTGAAGGTGAGGGTGTGAATTTCTGTGTTGACAGGAGAATCCTCCCTTCCACGTAACAGCAGATGTTCTTACACAGGCCTGTTGGGGAGAGGTGGCATTCAAGTGATGAAGAAATAAGAGTCTGCACCATTTCTCAGCCTAGTGAGAAGGCAGCTCTGTGCTCACTTTGAAAGAGGCCAGTGCAAAAGTTACCTAGGTAAGTAAAAATGACAAAACACTTAGAGTAAAAACATTTGAACATCAGCGGGGGAGAAAATTACAGTAGTATCTTTGGAAGGTTAAGAGGACAATGCAAATACAAATGTGAGAAATGTGTACAGAGCCTAAGATTGTGGCATAGAACCAAATTAAATACTTAACTGGCCTGTTAGAAATTTGCAGGGGTAAGTCATAGGACTGGGGTACCAGCACAGCTCATTCTAGAAGGATGGGCTTGGAGGAATGAAGCGTTTGTAATATAATTGAAGATTATTCATACTTCTTCTGAAGTTGATGAATAAATGTGACAGACCTAAGTTAGAAAAAGAGCAGTCTCTTTGATGGGTGGGTGTAATTTAAGCCACTTCTCTGGGAGGAGTGAGAAGAAGTTCTTGAGCAGTTGGAAGAACACATTTTGTAGCCAAGCCTTGGTGGCAGTGGGCACTTCAGCGAGGTGATGGTTGGGAATGCAGCCTGGCAAATACCTCAGCGTACCACAGTCTTGAAATTCATTGAGGGCATTATGTGTCAGTGTAGAAGTTACTAGGAAGTTATTTTAGTCTTGAGTTTTAGTAAGAAGGATGGCTTGCCTGCATGTCTGAAGAGGGGAATGTTAGTAAAACTGAAAAGCTACTTAAGAACGCAATTTGTATTCCTTGACAGATGGTGGAATATACTGTCAGATTGTCTATACAGAATTAGATTGTAAAGTAATAACAAATCTAATTGTTAGGAATAACTAATATTAAAACAATGTAATTTCCCAGTTTATTGGTCAGCTAGCTAAGGAAAAAAGAATGAGCGGTAGATAACAGTAGATATTCAACCCTGCAGCTGGGGGTTGGAACTAGATGATCTTTAAAGTCCCTTTCAAATCTAGCCACTTTATGACTCTGTGACATTCTTGTTATCTCAACTTCTATCTGTTGATCTTTGTTATATTCTCTGACTAGATTACAAATTTAAATCTAGATAGTAAGACTGGGTAGTTTCACCTAGTCAAAGTTGCCTGGTTGGACAAATATCCTAATGAGGTGATGAGGTAAACAGACAAGGTTTGAGAACCAGGAAAAATTGCACAAGTAGTAAAATCATGGTGCGGGGTCACTTAAGGATAAAGTGGAATCTTCTTGACTGGACTTTTATAAGAACAAGTATGTTGGGTATTTTTCAGATACAGTCTAAGTTACTTATTCTGCCTCAGAGCAAGGGAAGAGACTGAATAATTGCCTCACATCTCCTCTAGGGATGGATTTTTAAGTTAGTACTTTGGGAGGACTTGTAAGACCCCTGCTTCACAGGTGGAGTAAGGGCAAAGGTAAGCATCGAACTGTGGAAATGTGCATCAGGGCAGGCGTACATACAAATACATGTTTTGAGTTGTACCCAAGGAAGAGAAGTACTTTTTTTCTGATCTGCAGAACTTCAGACAAGGATTCCACATACTCCAGTAAAAATAGTGCAAATCAGTCCAGCATAAGCATTTCTAGAGGCTGCAACACATTATCTGTGAGTCTCTTTTTGCGACTTAATTTTAAAGATTTATGTTCCAATGGTGAGGAACATAAAGGAAGTACTTCCATGTAATGGAAGTGTGCAGTTCAGGTCGCTCCTAGGAAATGCATGGTTTTAATCGAGTAACAGATCATGAGCTATATTTGTAAAGGTTATACAGCAGTTTCAAAAACAAAAGCATTTAAGAAAACCATGCCCTTCTGCAGACCATTGGCAAACAGAAAAAGAGCCAGAGTTCATCAATAGATGAGTCAGTGCTTCTATATCCTTCCCTGAGATACCCACATAAAATTCTTGCTGGCTTCAGCAGGAATTGTGGTCAGCCAGAAGAAGAGTGTGTTCTCTTGGCTCTGCTCAGGCCTAACTTTGATCTCACAAATTCATTGGCAATTTTTGGCGAGTAAAGAGGAAAGGCTGTCCTAACTGAGAAGGTGCTTTAGCTATCCTCTTCCTTCTCCCCTCCCTTCCTTTTTCTTGCTTCTGCTTACCTTGTGGCCTGGGACTTTCTGTCCATTTTGTGACCACAAGACCGGTCTCACTGCAAAGCCTTGGTTTGTGAGTGACAGCCATAAAATTTCTTGCCTTTATTTCTCCATCTCTGCTTTCTTACAGAGGACTTTGCCCTTGCTGCAGGGATGCTCATTTGCTTGCAAGGTACAGTGTGATTTGCAAATTATGAAATTGCAGTAGTTTTATGTACTTTTATATTGAATTATACAAGTGCCAATTTAATTGATGCGTGGAATTGCAGCTAGCAGTTCAGTAGCTGTTTCACAAGCCATACTTGCAGTAGGGGAACCTCAGGCAGATGGGTGAGATGAATGTTGAGAAGTGGGAATCAGCATAGTCATCCCAAGAGAAATCATCCCCATTTGTGAGTCAAAGCCTTCAGTCTCTTGCCTGAGAAGAAGGGAATCTCCCAAGGCAGCTTATTTTGCACGATCTTATCAATTGAGATCAAATATCATGGCATTAGTTCAATAGATACACGCATATATATACATGCAATAAATACACGCATACCTCACTCAAATTCACATTTAGCTCTAGCCAAAACACAACCCAAGCCATGATCCAAATAGTCTCCTCCTCAGCCCACCTTCATTGCAGTTCTGTTTCAGTGGCAGATGCAGCACAGAGAAGATTGCCTGAACGCTTAATTCAGAAATTTACTGTTTAAGGCATTACTTGTATGAACACCAGCGTAACACATAGAATACCAATGCCCTTAATTTAGTAGTTTTGTCTGAGTCATTTTCACTGTGTGGGAGGGCTGTGAAGACACTCCACTGAGTGGAGAAACTTGCTGGTGCTGTCTGTCCAATGAGATTATTTTTTAAAAAAGTCAACATAACAGAACCACAGATCTGTTTGTGAGTAAAATGCAATTTTGTTGCAGACTTCAGTACAGGAAAGGGGTGGTGATGCTCTCCACCCACTTCAAAAGCTGAAGTCAAGCTTAACTGATATGTATCTGATGCTGAAATAGGTACTGAATTTTTCATGACAGCAATGCACAGATACAGGTAAACACTCTGGCTGCGTGATTTGGAGGGGCAGAATGTGGTGTAATCCCCAGATTGGTCTGTGCAATTCCATCTTATTTTCAGATCTAGCAATAGCATCTGAGTTGTTACCAACCAACAGCCAAAAGCTATTCCTGGGTTTATTCGCTGCAGGGTGAAATTTTGTCCTACTGAAGAAAGGGTAACTTTTGCCACAGAAGTTGTTCACTAGGGCTAGGAATGTACACAGATTTTTTTTTAAAGTAGATACAGGCACAAGCAATTAAGTTAGGGAGAGAAAGAGGCACTGAGATTTCTGAGCTGGCAACATTCCCCTTTCTATCAATCTGCAGTTTGTTCTTACTTGGTTAGCTTCTCTTATTGAATGCAGATGGTTTCAAGTTAATGTAAATGTAGTATTTCCATTTTCCTGGGCAAAGTTTTCTAGGATCCCAGTGAATAAAACTGTCCCTCTCCTTAAGTGAAAACCTAACTTCACTGTGCCTGAACTTAAGAATCCATCACAATTTTTCTTTGAATAAAAGTTCCAACTCAACCTCTGCACTCTGTGTTTGGAGTGGACCCTTCACCAAGCAGAGATTAAGCATGTTTTTCATGTGCTGTACACTGTCTTCTGGCAGCCATGGCAAATATGTAAACAGGCTGGGCCTTGATACTATGGCCCTGGTTCTTGTGAACAGTGCCACTGAGTTCAGTGCTCTGCTCACACTAACTGCAGAATCAGTCATAATGTGTTCTGTGCCAGTGAGATGAACTCTGTTCCTACAGAAACTCCAGTAAAATCAGAAGTTTGTTAATAGAAAAAAACAAAACAAGTAGTTAGCTGTTATCACAAATGGAGCAAAATGCCAAATATAATCCTGCTCTTCTATTTGTTCCTGTACAGACATTTAGCTGCCAGGAAGACCAGTCTTATAAATGTGAAATTATATCCATGGTAACATGCAAGCCATGTTTAACTTTGCAGCATGGTAAAAGGTACATTAGAAGAAAAAAATCCCTTTTACTGTTGAGAATAGCAATTATGACTTTTAAGGCAGTTATTTTGACTCTTGGGAATTGACTTGTGAGGGTAAGAGCCAGAGGCACAACCCCTTCCTCAAAACACTTGACATTTCTAGACATGCTCACAAGGTACTATTGCTTAAATACAGCCTATATTTTCATTATCCAGATTCTTTTTACTAAAAAGATATGACAGGTTGTGATATTGGACTGTAGTGAAGTCCCAGCTGTGCTATTCTACTGTTTAGATGCAGCAGTGCTGGCACTGTGCAGTTATCATGTAGATACCCTTTCTGGTTAAGTGTTGGACTCAAGGACCCTGCTTTGTGATACAGCACGTGTTCTGGGATTATAAGCACTCTTTTGTGCTGGAAATCAGATGTTGCTTACAGAGTCAGGCAAGCAGCTGGAGTAGGGAGTAGACTGAACTAGGATCTGGGCAGGAACACATTGGGAAAAGTAACTGTTAGATCCCAACTTGGAGCAAAAACTGAAGCTGAAAGCTACAGATGGTTTTCTTGTATGTATGATAATGTCAAACCCAAAAAAGGGAGTTTTCACACTCTCTTGTCTGTTTAGTGCACAGTGAAAATTATATGCTAGAAAATGGAGCCCTGTATCTATACAATATCGTGTCAGGCTCAATGGAAATTGGGCTTGACAGCTTTTCTGTAGGCCAGGCCTCTGGAGCCTTGAACTCTATTTGCCATGGAGGAGAGCGAGGGAAACAGAGCAATAGCAATGGGATCTGTCCTCCATGCTTTTTATCTATTAGCCCCTACACGGTGATGCCACCCTTAGTAAATTGTGCTAGGAATGACTTGTAAAAAACAGGAATTTCTTCTCTAGAGGCAGCAGAAGAGCCCATGCTGGAAGTGGAGGCCACAGCTACAGCAGCTAAATCCCACAAAGCATGTTGGAGAAGAACAGGATATTCTGGTGGCTACTGTCTTGTGCATGTCATGAAGCAAAGGGGCTGGTGAGTGCAGTAATCTGGGTGCCTGGCTCTGAAAAGAGGGCAACATCTTTATGGAATATGCATATTCATCTGTTCTTCAGGGTTCTGTTTTTTTTTTTCCTTCTTCTTTTCTTTTTTTCCTTTTTTCTTTGAGCTTCACAGAGGTAAAGATGATACAAGGTGCACTTCATGTAGAAGTTTATGAACATATGTACTGGCCTGTACCTCTCATAATAGAAAAGTGGAGATAGTTTATCAGCACAACCTGCCCCCTTACTTGATTAAATGCATTTTTAACTGACAGTCAACACTGGTGTATCAGGAGGAACTCAGACTTACCTTTCTCCAACTGGACAAGGAGGTTTGGGTTGTGCTGTGCTTTCTCTGCTTCTGTAAAGTGGACACAGACCATGTCTTCTAGTATAGTGCCTCAATTACTGAAGTGACTGTTTTTACTCTGGAGAATCTGGAGACAGTCTGAGGTACCTTGCTGCTAAGTTCTCTTCTACCTTTGAAATACTTATTTTCAGATGCATAAATTGGTGCCTAAGGTATCTAATTTTGAGAAGATAACAGTCTTTCTTTATAAGAAGTTTCTTGAAAGGGTCTTAAGTATTATATTGGATAAAAATTTGGATTTTACCTGGTGACCCTTGTGGGAGTTGCATGAGTTCAATCTGTAGAGGGGTCATTGCAAGGCGTATTTGCTGTATCAGCCCTGTGGGTGCTTTGGCCTTTACTCTAAATCTTAGGCCTAGTCATGCAATACTTCTTTGGCAGGGTGATAGTATCTTTAGGTCTGTTTGATGGGTTCTTCCTGCTTTCATGCTGGAGTGGTGTGTAGGAGAAGGTGGCCAGATGTGTCACTGGTGTAGCAACCTTTCACTCATGGAGGCTCACTGACAGTTTGTGCTGGCAACACCCTGCAGCACTTGAGGCATCTATTTTGGCAAAAGTGTTCTTGCTTCTGATTACTATTTGCAGGACCTGCAGAAAAGAAACAGGACCTGAAGAAGCCTAGCTTGGGTGAGGGTACAGTGTTAACCATGGCCTTTATGCCTTCATATTCTAGTGTACATAGCCATGCCTGCAGATGTCATCTGTGTCCATGTAGCAAGGATATTGTTCTTTCCCATGTTTTCTTTCTGGGATGGGAAGTCTCATTAAAGAGATCCTTGAGTACTTGCTAGGAGAACTGTGGCACCCATGCAGACACACTGTGACTGAAAGACCCCATTAACTCAAATACTTTGCCATAACTTTAGCAGACCTCAGAGAAAACCTAGAGCACTTGGGTCATGACCTCAGACCAAATGCCTCTGTCAGGAGTCTTGAGAGGAACTTAATATGATTTTTCTTGTTCCACTGTTAAGTGCCTACTGGTGGGTTGCTCTGTTGTACAGACAAGAGGACCCACTGAAAGGCTATTTTTCCATGAGGTTAACTTAAACTTACTGATGACAACCTTAGTGGGTGGCTATTGAACCAAGAGTGTCAAAAGCCACCATCTAAAATGACCTTTAGGCTGTTTACTCAAAGCAGTAACAGACTCGCCCCCGACTTCCTGATAGGGGCTATCACTTATCAAGAAATAAGAGCAAGTGGCTAGATATGGAAATGGCTGTGGGAGTGAGCCTAATTGAAAACATACAGTATCATACAGAAGTAAAATTAATACTCCAGTAACCTTTACCTTTTCTGTGGAATATATATGTTAAAACTAAGCCAGAAGAATTACCAGGAATTGGGAAAAAAGACTAAATGTATTTATGTATGTATGTATATATTCAAAACAAATAGAAAATCTTATATTGGACAGACAAATGTATATAATTTAACTCAAATATCTCCCCCTAAGGCTGTGCCACATACTCTGTGATCCTTTTTCCAAGCTATGCAGTAAAGTTTCAGAAATCAGTGATTTTCAACTCACTTAAATGAAACATTTTTAAAAAGAGGTATAATGTAGGCTAAGTAGTTAAGCAGACAATAAAAACTCAGTAACTCATTAGTTAGAAATACAGAAAACTAAATGCTATGCATAAATACTATACTCGTTGACTGGTTTCCATTCTAACTTAGAAAGCTAACTTAGGTTCTTACTTATGATTATATAGAAACCTTTTCTTAAGACAAATATATATTTTAATAGATGCTTTAAATACATGTGAAAACGTGCCTGGACTTTCAGTGGCTTTATCTCAATAATCTATATTGTAGCATTTCACCATCTCAAAATAAGCTTGTTTTTAGCTAATATTCACCTGTTGCTTTTTTTTTTTTTTTTCCAAGCAGTTGGTTTTTTTTGTTTTTGTTTTTTTTTCTGTTTATCTGAGTCAGAAAAGCAGCACCATATAATCCCATTTTTGTATTTGCTAAAATATGTCTAGACTGACTAGCATGAGGGTAGTCATCCTGGAAGGTTTTAGTAAGATCCCTCTCCACTTGGTATATACGTCACATAAGTAAGTAGTGAAACTGAAAGTTTCACATGTGATACAACTCCTCGTAATAAGCTGTTGCAACTGGTTTTTGTTTATTTGTTTGTTTGTTTTTAAGGAAAAGGAACACTATCATTTGGCAGTATTTCCTATCAAACCTCAGACACTGACCTGCCGTGTAGATATATATCTTGGCTGCAAAATGACAGCACAGAACTAAGGATTTTTATGTTTACTCTTTCCACCCAGCACCCTCTGCTCCTGCACCCTTCCCTGTGTCAGGTAGTTTCTAAAGGCATTGATACAAAGTGAAGGGATGCAGAGCTGAGCACAGACAGATAAATAGACATATAGTGCTGACAACTAAATCTCATTTCTTTAGGAACATAGCCTGAAAATAGTTACATATTTAGAATGGATTGGGAATACTTTATTTCCTGTGAAAAAAGGCAGATTTTTTAGGGGAAAAAGAGCAAGGTAAAAGTGACTAGTTCTCACCTCTCATTCATATAATTGTTAAGTCTTCCAGGTGAAAATCCATTCTCTTTCCTATAGTGAGGGTGTCTCTGCCAATGTCAGGTGAGTTGGAACAAGGTGATCTCTGAGTTCCCTTCCAACCCAAACCTTCCTATGATTCTTCCTTAAACAGTATTTTTCCTCAAAAAGTATTTTTTTTAATGTGAAGGATAGCTTTCTGTCTTCTTGCACTGCTGTGCAAGAAGATACATCACTGATACATCATGGAAACCTCTGGCAATAATGCATGTTGGAATTGAAGTCCAGATGCAGGAATTGGTCTGCAAAAGATGTAACATCAAGGCCATAACTCAAGTAAGTTACTGGAATGTTGAAATGCGTATCAGATTTTGGAAATTTCTGTGCCATTTTATAGGCAAAGCAGGCAGTTGAGATGAAAAGGGTCATTTTGGTAGGAATCCAGCATTTCACTAAAACCAGTTCTCTACAGCACACCATTCCAAAATCTATTCTATTCACAGCATTCCAAAACAGCCTTGCCAAGTTGTTAGAAGATTTTTAGGTAACAAATTATTCAACCTATCTGTGTCCTATGTTGGCCACACCAGTTGTGCATATCTTTGAAGTTCCTTTAGATAGACAAATGTGAAGACTCCCCAGATGCTGAAAAGGAAGTCTTCTAGAGCCAGGAGAAAGAAATATCCTGAGGGCAAATGTGTTTCTGAAGCACCACTCATGTCCAGAGGCTGTGCTATTTCAGAGAGCATTTGTCTTGTTCTCCTATTAAAATGGATCCTCTTTTGCATATTTTGTGTTTCAATAGGAAGCGTGAGGTCACAATCAAACTCTTCGTGACAAGATCCAAATCCTTATTATCTACCTTGAGTTACTGACAAAAACATAGGAAGAGCCCTCAAAGGATTCACCTCTTCCTGCTATGTTTCCAAATCGCTGGGCTGAATGTTCAACCTTTTTACTGTCAAAGAATATTTCTTGCCCAATTTCAGTAGGATAAGAGGGGAATCCCCTATCCAAAGCCCTGTGGTTAAAGCACCTCCTGTGGAGGTGAGAGACATAGGTTTGACCTGATGAATGCATAAACTCTGCTTCCTATCATGAGTATGCTAATTACTAGACTGTGATATGAGAAGCAGACAGTGTTATCACTATCAAATCAATTACTCAAACTGGGTTTTAAAAGAAAGTGACCGCAGCCAAGTTTGAAAGGCCGACCAGCAATTGGTCAGGGTGCTCATAGCTGCAATGCCTCTAGCATGGGAGGTAGCCAGGCTGTCTAGATCCAGGTTTCATTTGAGTGTGAGTTCAGTCAAGTTGCTGAGGCTGTGGAATATTCTGGGCATTGAGGGGGAATAAGGACTCAAATAGGGTTGCTAGAGGGAATGGACACTGTAGAACCTGGTGGGGAGGCAAAGGGGAAGCCTTTTCTAACCAAAGTTCTGAACATAATATCCTCCAAATGCTGAAATATAAATGCAACATGCCACTATAAGAGTTTTTGAATATTTTGTAATGAGAATGCTGTTGAATTAGATGGACACTGTGTTCACCATCTGATGGTAAGGTTTCCCCACCATTTCTGAATGTGACTTTAAGTGAATGGAACTTTACTCATGGTTAAAGGTTTTTTTTTCTTTGTTTTGTTTTGGGTTTTTTAATGCAATAAGAATCTTGTTAGACTGGGATTTTTAACAGTGTTATTTTGTCTCTTCAAGTCTCCTTCAGATAAGGTTTTCTTGTATTCTGAAATGATGTGGCAGAAGGCAAAAAATAATCTTGTGACTCATTAGGAAATAAACAGAGGCATAATTGCCATCTGTGTTTCAGTCCGTTTAATCTTTTCTCTCTCCAGTCATGGAAAAAAGTTCATGAAAAAGTTGAGGTCTGGTTTTGTGATATTTTTTCAGAGAAGCTGGCTTAAAAAATTACAGAAAAGAAAGGAAAAAAAAAAGAACAACCAACAATACTGGCTCTATACATTATATTAGACAAAATGGATTAAATTTCTGACACCCTACTCATCAAATTCTGACCTTGATATGACCCCATTGGCTTTTTACTGTTTGATGTTCTCAAACGATTTGG